CAAGAAAAAAAAATAAAATTTACTTTGAATTGGGAGAAAATTGGGTCACAGTAAGCCCTTACATTGAAAATTTCTTTACATGGATGGGACAAGAGGAGAGGTTCTGTGATTGAACATATGAACATTGATCATGCCCTTTTCTTACTATTTTGTGTGTGTGTGTGTGTGTGTGTGTGATATGGCAAAAAAGCCTCTCAGATCTCAGATTTGGCACCAGAAGATCTAATCCAGTTTTGCTGTTAGCTCTTTTAACTTAGGCTACTTATCTTAACTTCTGAGACTGTATACTTTCTCATTTGGAATAACAATAATAGTAACTAACAGTCATATAGCACCTTCTATGTGCCAGGCACTGTGCTAAGTGCTTTACAGATATTTTCTCATTAATTTTCACAATAGTTCTATAAGGCAGGAGTTATTATTATTTTACAGATGAGGAAACTAAAGGAAACAGAGTGACTTGCCTAGGGTAATACAGCTATGGAATGTCTGAGGCAAAATTTGAACTCAGGTTTTCCTGACTCCTTACCCAGTGAATTGCACCACAAATGAAGGGGATTAATTGGATGGTCTCAAAGGTCCTATTGTACCTTTTTATCCATTTATTTATTCATTCATTCATTCATTTTTTATTTATTTATTTATTTATTCATTCATTCATTTATTTGTTTATTTATTTATTGTATATTCTGTAATTCTATAGAAAGAGGAAGGAAATGTTGGTAGAACTATGGAAGAAAGGGAGAAATGTAGCAAATCAATTTTTAAGGCAATTTCATATGGGAGCCTATTATGGGAAGTTAATTCCTCCTGTGACTTTCAAACAACGGCTATTCAATTAGGAAACTGATGATTTATATCCATTTAGCTCAAGGTTCTGAGTGCCAATTCAGGGACAATCTATTCCCCAAATGATTCCAGTGTCCTCAGTTAAGGTAGGTTAAATCATGCCATCTAAATTTTAATTGTCCCTATAAGCATTAAGTTTGAAAAAATGAGGTTGTAACTTTGCTCTTTTTTTTTGTCACAGGACGAAAAATAGGATAACATCCCTGAGACTGGGACGATTTGGCTTTTGAGGTGTTTTTTTTTTTTTAAGTTCTATAGCTGTAAGCTGGTGGCTCGTGAGCTGCAATGGCCATCAAAGAGAAAGGTACAGATGCTAATAGGCCTACCTTTCATTCAAAAATAACAAAATAATGTGTCTTGAAATGGGTGCCTTTCCTTCTTTGCTGACAGGATATTCCAAGGCTATTTGTCCATTAAAACATACTCCAAAGGATTATCCAAGGAAATGATTTAAAATGAATTTTAAAATGTGCTATAGCATGCATATTACGTAATATAAAACATATATAAAAAGGCTTCTCTGAAGGCTCTGTAAGCAGTCTACTGAACCACCTTTGAAATGTGATTGCAACCAAATAACTTTTTCCCCCCAAAGGTATCATTATCTCTGTGAAGAATATTCAGTTAGTACCTAATTGCATACAGCACTGTGCTGAGCATTAAATAAAGAAAAAAACATATATATCAACTTGTCCTATCAGGACAGTGTTAAGCACACAGTAGGTGTTTGATAAGTCCTTGCCAATTGATTGTTGATTGATTGGTTCTGTCCATGTCTTATAGGAGAATTAAATTGTCAGAGGAGAAAGAAGCTGATTTTCTTTACGACTTTCACTCTAACTAGGTGCCGGAATTTTAGCTAATTACTTACCTCCCTAGGCCTCATTTTCCTTATCTATAAAATCTCTCTCTCTCTTAGGTCACAAGACTAATGAGTATCAGAGGTGGGATTTGATGAGGTCTTCCTAATATCAAGAATACTAAAGCCATCTGTCTCTCATTCTCTGAATGTGTGAATTACAATCTGGTTGTAACACTGATACCAACAGACATATGACATATAAATAGAAAAATAGAACCAATGAATAAATATTTGACTTTATAGTGAGCCATTTATATCAAACAGCTGTCAAAGGGAAATCCATTTCTAATAACTACATAACTGGGATGGAGCCTGGATAGACCTTTATTCATAGAAATATCATGTCCAGATGGGGAATGGTGAAAGAAAATAGGGAATTTGTCCCTGATTAATCTTGGAAGGTTTCATGGGGGAGGCAAATTTTCAAGTGAGAGCCTGTTGATTGAGGGAAGAATATTCTAAGGATGTGGCATGGTATGAGAGAAGACTCAACAAGGGAAACAGACCAAGTGGGCAAAGAAAACTTGGAGTAGATGAGTCTGAGGTAATGTAGAAAGACAGTGTGAGGTGAGGGTCGTAGGAGTAAGAGAGTAAAAATAGCATAAGAGAAAAGGACTAGAATCAAAGACTATTAAAGCTGAAAGGGACCTACTAGACATAACTGAGGATACCCTCGTCTCCCCTCCCCCATTTTATGGATTAGGAAATTGAGAAACAGCTAAGATGAAATGCCTTGCTGTAGGACAAAAAAACTAGCATCACAAAGACTGGGAGCCATGGCTTTTTTCTCATACCAAGCTTCTTTCCATTCTCTCTCTCACAATGAATCCCAGGGATTTAAAGTGAAATTAGACAACAAAAGGCCTTTCAGGAACAAAGGTAGCCATCTTGGATAAGACCTCAGGTACATTTCAGTTTCATATTTTATGAAAAGTACACTAAGAAAACATTAACAAAAAAAATCACAGAGATAATAATTGTTGATAGCATCCTCACAATCTATTATTTGACTAATTTAATACTGTTTGAATGAGAAAATTGACACCTCTCCAAAACAATAATTGTCTTTACTATTAAAGATAGGAGGAGGAAGAAGAGAAAGGAGAAGAAAAAGAAGGAGAAGGAGAAGGAAGCTTCCCTTTCATATTCTATATTAGTTTCTGGGGCAAAGCCATAGCAATCTCATGAACATTCAGGCAATGGCACCAGAGACGATGACAGTGAAAGGAAAAGGAAGGAAAATATGGAAAAACTACAGACAAATTTTACTCACCTTGTTAATTTTTAGCATCAGCCTTCTTTTTTCTTTCTTTCTTTTTTTTTTTAACTCACTCCCTTTTATGTTACACAACCCAGCTGCTGGGGGACATCTTGAACAACATCAAAATAACCTTATGTTCTGTGTATATGTGTATGTATATGCATATATGTATGTCTAAATATATGTATGTATGTATTTGTGCTTATTTAACTGCATGGTGCCTCCCCAAATAGGCATTCATAAACCTAACTGAAGGAAGAGGCTGGGTTATTTTGGTCTTATATCCCCAGTGTCTAATACAGTACCTGGCATATGGTTAATCCTTAACTAATGCTTACTGATTGAACAGTCATCTTATTAACAGTCTTCTTCACCATTACCCACTGCAAAACAAATAGCTCAAAAATAAAAGACAATGAGAGAGAAGGAAGACCCACCTTTTAAAACAGCATAGTCCAAAGATATCAGCAAGGAGATGCCACCTTCTTGTATTTAAGAGCAGCAGTTTTATTGTAAAAGTCCACAGGTCTGTGCAGTTCCTTTTTGGAAGGATTTCAAATACATTTGACAAGGATAGATAATGATTCAGAATTAATTTATCTTTCTGTGCATATGAATTTCCAAACCTATACAAACATTGGAAAACTACCTTTTTTGTGCCTTCTGTCATAAGGCAATTGTGTCATGACAACTAGCATGCATCTCTCATTACTGAAATTTGCGAACAACTCTCCTCAAGTAAGCATTAATACTTTGACAACTAGAGAAAAAAACATTCAAAGAGAATTGATTGCACTTACACTGGCATAAGATTGCATAATTGAGCATATCAGATATGATCAAAGGTTAGAAAACCTGTGGCTGAATGAGTTTCAAGATTCATCCAGATGGAATAGATGGTTTGAAATATGCAAACTACACACAGCTTGTCTATTAGCAAAGACATTTTTTATTCCCCTCTGATTATTTGGGGTTATCTCTAAATTGTATACTAGCGATGGTTAGATTCTGTCTCACGGTAATCACACCACAGCAGAGAAGCATGTTAAAGGAGTGTCGCTGTACAGAAACAAAGCTATGGGGTGGAACAAACTGTTGACATGGCACAACCTATCATGTTCAAAGTCATTAGTTGATTAGCTTACTAAGAATACAGTCTAACAAAGTCAAGGTTATTGGTTTGATACCTATATGGGCTATTCTTTCAATGAATACTTATTGAATGCTTGCTGTATTTAAGATATTCTGTTCTTAGCTACAGACCATTCCTTTAACCCACTCATGTATGAATTTTGGAAATGTGTGCCAGTGATTCATATGAAAGAATATGGTTGAATTGATTCCAACCCATTCTCACAAATAGAAAAAAGAAAAAAAAACAAAGCAAATGTCCAAGTGATTGTGTATCAGTAACATCATTTCTACATACAAAAAGAAAAAAAAAAGAAAAAAAATCCCACAGTTTAGTTAAAAAACAAAAACGAGCTTTGCCCAAAAAAGTAAAACACATTTCATATGACAATTATTAAAAACTGAAGTTCCTTCTGACCCTTCTGGTTATTTCTAAGAGATCATATATCACTCCACAAATACCCCATGTGAGATGACTAATCATCATTTGAGCTTGGTATGGAAGGAGTTACCAGCAGCTTAAGTTTTAATAGCCTGAAGCCGATCTTGTGATGGAGAATAATTTCTATTGCAATCTAATGGACTAGAAAGCAAGAAAAAAATAGCATCAAGCACATACAGTCACTTAATAAACTACACAAGAGATTGGCAATCCTTTTTGATTCATAGACTATTTAGAAGAGGCAAATGTAGATTGTTTTGTTTATATATATATAATATATATATAATAAGGTATCTTAAACTGTCATACACAAAAATGCTATTTTAATTTTTCATGCATGAGAAGGCAGCTAAGTTCTCCTCTCCAATCCCAAACCCAGACCTGATTCCTTATGATTCTATTTACATTTTTCACCTACAGCCCAAAGCCACAAAATAAAAGACAATACTTTATGGTATCTTTGCTTCATTTATTTTGGCCCTAAAACGATGCATGCACTACTTTAAGCATTATAAGGTATTTCAATATTTACAGCATGTTACATGTGCTCTTAAAAGGATAGTATTTTGTTCTTCTATTATTAGCTTGGGGGTATGGGAGGATAACTTGTCAAGGCTAGTAACACTTATTTGAATTGAGAGATGATGCTTCACAAAATGAAAGATTCTAAAGGGTAAAGATTGACCATGTCTCTCTACCCCAAACAAAGACGTTGCACATTTCTTAAAATTTTTTTGCATGTATATGTTTATACAATGGAAGGGAAAAGGTATCCTACCACTTCAAGTTCACACCCCTTCCATTTCTGTTACAGCTGCCAATGCTACATTTTGATCTACTTTTGTTTTCAACATTCTTATTTTCCATTTATAACAGTTTTCATACATTCAATCAGTAATGTTCAAATCACACTAACCAACGGAAAGTTAGGGACAAATGACATGGCATGATTAGGATATTCTGTATTATGGCACAAACAAATTGAGACCAGTATAAAGCATAAGAGAGATTATATTAAGTGAACATTTAAAGGGAACCTTTAAACCATCTCCCCATGGGAATCATTGAGTAAGACTCTTATCATTGTTCCACCCTTGTTTAAAGGTAAAGATAAGAAACCCAGTAGACGAGGTTGAATAAGCAGAAGGCAGTGGGAAAGAAGATCCGAGCATAAGAGTCCATTTTGGCAATACGGATATGTATTCTTCCATGACGCCATGCCCCTGTTCGGCAATCTTCAAAGCAGCAGAAAAAACTGGCACAGTCCTTGCCATCAAGACACTCATAACCATACTCTTCATCTCTCTCCTGAAGGTGTGTGGCATTGTTCATTTGAATAGTGGCTGACCTTGGTCGAATATCAATTGTTGGTGCCTAAGAGGATAATACAAAGGGATGGGAATGAAAGAGTTGGTTAGAATCCTCAAAGCCAGACAATTTTTGTCTATAGCATGGGCAATGGGAATGATGATTCAGCAAATGGGGACTCAGGAAATTGCTATGAAATCGTGATCTACAATGATAAAATTTAAATTATGAAGAGAGCACATTTGCATATTTCAAATTTCGAGCTAAGCAATGCAGCTGAAAATAATATTATCAAGCTAATAGCTATAGCAAGGAAATTGAACAACAAATGAACTCAAAGATCTAAAGGGTTAGACCAAACAACTACATGAGACTTTATTCCACTAACTATTGGAGGTGATGTTGGAGGCATGAAGGCATTAAATGGAATGGAGAATTACTTTTGTAAATGAATACTTTTTTTTTTGAAACCAAGGTGTCTGTCATGCTTATATGTATGCAAATAGCCTATTAAAATGAACAAAGATGGTTCTAATGGCATATTCTGTTTTAACTCTATAGCAATATTAAAATATCCTTGGTCTATAACTCCATGGTATGGCTAATGCATTAGAAAGATGAAATTCCACATTAAATGGTCACTCCAGAGGGATATGAAAATGTTAGCCAAGTCCACTGACGTGAATAAGAATTTTCAACGAATTTTACCGTCTAGAATGGCAAAACATTGTAAGTGTTTGGTGAACATAAATTAACATTGCTTCTATTCAGTGTAATTGAATCCTTGCCCTTCTTCTAATGGAAAATGAATTAGAGGACAAAGGAGTTCCTTCAGCATTACCAATTCAGTTGTTAAAGATTTGGGAAAAATCAACTATGTTAACATTTAGGAATAAGCTTCCAAAAGTCCAATAAAATTGGTAATTATCATCATTCGCCATCTTGAATGATGGCAGTGAACTTAGAGCCAGCTACTACATTTGCATGGATAGGTTTGTTCAACTATAAAACACCTTCAGTTCCAGGACTTTTCCCAAAGGACTCTAATATGGTTTTTATATGCATGAAAAACATTAAAATGCATTTTATTAGAAGGGGAGAGACTATATCTTGAAACATAATTTTCAAAGATTTAAGGTGTCTATTTGAGTTCTAAAGACCATGTACTGTGTAGCACTGGTGGAATGGAGGTTTCTAAGAAAAAAGGTCAAATCATGGTTTAGGCTGCTTAAGAAAGCCCCACTTTGTTCAAGGTGCTGGCTGCTCTTGAATTACAAATGAATTCAAAACATCTGTGACTTGGTGTAGGAGCTGCTGAATCAACTCTACAAATTTATTTCTAAATCTGTAGAACTTTCTACTTCTTAGATGTATTACCTGGAGTAGAATGCTTAAATGTCTACTTAAAAAAAATCTCATTTAAGCGTTAATAGTTAAATTCAGCAGTGGCATGCAGTGAATTTCCATTCCAAAAACATTATACCTTGAAGGAAAACATCCGAAGAAGCTTTGGTTTTGTAGACAGAAAAGAGAATGACATTTTTTTTTACAAAGAAAGGAAAACAAAGAAGAGGAAGAGACAAAATAAGATAAATTAAAGATACATTCCCAAAAACATACTAAGTAAAAAAGAACTGAAATTATAAACAGAGAAGGACAGTCCTCAACTATGAGAAAACCTATGACTAACGTGGGAGAAAAACCAAAATCTGGTAATTGCTTATGAATTTCCAGTTAAGTCAATATTATTCTGATTAAATATCATCTTGACCCTAAACTATGATATAACTATAAAACCCAGTGTTTTGCAAGCTAACTTCTTACTGCCTATTTATCCATTATGGAGACAAGTTTTATGATTATTTTCCTAAACCTTTTCATCAGTAAGACCTGATTAGAGTAAGCCTTTACACAATTAGCATCAGTACATCGTTACAAGAGAATTAGGTACTTTATTTCCTCATTGAATGGTCTTGGCACTTGCCAGCTGCCTTGACTAAGTAATGAATTACATTATCTAATTCATTTAAAGGATGAAAGAATGCATTTGATAATCTCAACAATTACATTTTCTCTGTTGCATTTTGTCAGCCCTCTTCTCTTCCTGCTCGTCCTTGCCAATTCTTTCTTCATCTGATCTATTAAAATCTATAGGTTTTAGAATATTTGTATTTATCATCTTTGAAACAAAATGTGTGCTTATAGAAGTTAGGATATTTCTTATGGACTCTTTAGTTGCTGTTAGCACAACCTTATTGTTTTGGAAGTAACACTGGAAGATGTCAATAGAACTAACTTATTAGGAGAAGAAAATGGAAAAAGGAGGAAGTCAAGTAAGAAACAGGACAAAAATCAAATTAAACCAAGGAGAGAAAATGAAAAGGTATAGAGGCAAAAGAAAAAAAAAAGAAAAGGAGGGACAGACCTGAAAAGAGCAAGCATTGTGTATCAGGGAAATGAAAGATAAACATTTTCTAAAGTTAATAATAGTCCTAGAGGCAGTAGTACTTAATAGAGCACTAGCTTCAAAGCCAAGAGTATCTCGGTTTTAGTCATTCCTCTAATACCTGTCATTTGACCCTGGGTAACTCACTGAACCAACCAATATTCTAGGTAGTTCTCTAAGACTAAAAATTCCAAAGAAGGTGCCAATTTGTATTGGTTAGGTGAGGTTTCCTCACCTGAGAGTTGTCAATACTAAAGCAATCACAGGCCTAATTCCTATGTTTAATATCCATGCCATAGCCACCTTTGTCCATTATACTATCTAATTAAAATATTTAATTACATTTATTACATTAGTTATATATTTTGTTATTGCAATAATTTCAGCAGTGTTACTTGGAGTGTCATCAGGAAACAAATAGCAAGTTAGAGACTCTCAAAATGATTCAATCAATATATATTATGGCTCAAATAGTCAACAAAATGTCAGTCTTCCCCTTACATTGCCTTTTAGGGCAAAATAGGGGGCAGGCCACCCTATCTTCTTGCCCTGGTACATAAATTTCTATCTACTTACTCTTCCCTCATCCCCTCCCTAGCAACTGCTGTAGAATATAAGAAACTCTCATGGGTACTCATTAGCTAGTTGTCCTTGGTGATATGAAAGCTAGTTGGCTGAATGGGGCTATTCAATAGGAGGGTAGCCTTTCTTTTCTAAACAACCAGGCAAAGCACTTAAACATCATTCATAGCTGAAGAAATCCTTCCGGTAGATATTCGTTCCTAAGAGGTCCAGAATACATAGTTTATATTCAAAGCATCTGTATTTCCTATGTTAAACTATGTGGAATTTCTCTAACAAAAACAAAAGTTTTGTTTTTTTCTTTGCAACAGAATATTATCTTCATTATTCTGGTCACATTTTGAACTTAAAAACCTACCTGGAAAGCTGCCTAGGATGTGAATTTGGTCCTGAAATATCAAGAGTTTAGAAAAAGAAGTTTGGAGAGAAAGATTGGAAGGGTTAGGGGGAGGCATATAGATAAAATCTAATGGAGTTCAGCCTATTAATGACTGGATGATAGATAAACTCTGCCATCAGTGAATATACTTCTCATAAAATGAAGACAGCATAAAATTGCTCCATTTTGTGTAACTATTATAACCCCACAGAATGCATCAATTACATAGACTCTGCCCCTGAGAAACACATATCTCTGTTGTCTGTAATGACCATAATAGATGTTACTCGTTCCTTATGGCTGGCTAAACTTAAATTATTGTTCCCATCTTTGAGCTAAGTAACACAAGCTCATCTATCTGAAGACTAACAAAAGCCACAGTTTAGATATGCACTTAAAAGGGCCCTGGAGGTCTAGCTACACCAAGGATACCAATAGTCTCAAAAGAGAACTGTACGTACTGGGTTTTTCTTCTTTTTGTCTTTGTCCTTGCTTGGCTTCCGATTGCTGACAAAGTAATGCAGGGTGCCATATTCCACCAAGGCAGAAAAGACAAAAATAAAGCAGACAGACACAAAGAGATCCATGGCTGTCACATAAGACACCTTGGGGAGAGATTTACGGGCAATTGTGCTAAGAGTAGTCATCGTTAGGACAGTGGTAATACCTAGGAAGGAAACACGATAAAATAGAAAAAGAAAAAAGTATTATTGTACCACCTGGTTATCAGGATGAAACCCTGAAACACCATAATGCTCAAACTCTCTGTATGTAATGGGGAAGGGAGAGAAACCTGGATTAACAAAGTTCTTCCTTGAATTAGAACGTGTTGGCTGCTAATTCCTAAAAGTAGATCTGTAATTTCTTCTCATCTACAAATATACCATGGGAAACTAAGCATGGCTAGTATGATAAAATTATAGAAACACAAATTTAGATCTGGAAGGTAACTTAGAGAACACAGTCCATTTTTTTTTAATTTTGAAGAGGATGAAACTGAGGCTCAGAAAGATTACATGACTTGCTTCCAAAACATATAGGTAGTAAGAAAAAAAATTGGAATTAGAACTAATTTATTGTGACCTCAAGTTCAGTGTTTATTAATCAACAGTATTGTGCATTTTATTCTAGAGAATAACTCAATGAAAACTGCCATTATGAGGAACATAGGACAGGATTTTCACATGATTAATTAATGAATACATACATAAATGAATAAAAAGATTAAATGCTTATGATATGTCAGGCTCTACATTGAATTGTGGGGAATACAAACACACAAAAGATGTAAACTATGCCCTTAAGCATCTGGTATTCCCAAAATGGGGGAGACAATACTTACAGGGGAAAGATGGCAGAGAAGGGTGAAGTCATAGAGATGGTAAATGGATTTAACAGAGCAACTGTTTGGTGAAAAGAGCACTCCATTAGGAATCAGGAGTCTTGAATTCTGATTGTGATTCTGACACTACCCAACGGCCTAAGCTGCTTAACTTTTTTCAACTTCAATTTCCTCATTTGTAATTTTTTTGTGTAAAATTTTTTTGTGTTTGGGAAAATTGTGATTTTTACTTTATAATTTCTAAGGTTTGTTCTAGCTATCAACATGTTATGATTTTTTTTTTCATTTCTTAGCCCAGCCAAAATTAAAGACAAATTTGTTTTTAAGGATCAGAGGCTGGTCAACCTTGATAATGTAAGGCTTTGCTATGCTGAGCTTTGTGACTCACTGTTCCAAAGTAAAAACAAAAACAAAACAAAATTTCATGATCTAAAAAACATTACTGTGCTGTGTTCACCAGAATTGCTCGTAGCCATAGAGATACCAGGAGACAATTAACTCTACACTCAAAGATAGAAACTCAGTCTTTACTGGAAGGACTCCTAAAGCAAATTTAATAGTCTATTTCGGTAGAAGCCAAACAAAAAGGACAGAGGAATGGATAGATTTCTGAGTATGAGGGGTGAACTACTGGAACAGTTTCATAAATCTAGAGATAAAATTACTATCTTTTTCATATCTACATAAGTATCATGTTTTTGGTCAATGACTAGTGAAATCAATGCATCCTCTCATTGATTAGAGAACTGTCCCAAGATCTACATAGTTTTTCCTCCAACCTATTAACTGTCTTTCTCCTTTAAATATTTTCCCTCTTTTCAAACCTGTTATAACATGGAGACCTCAATTCTTGTTTTGATCGCCTAAACCAAACTTGAATTCAAGTCAAGTTTGGGATTGTTTTTAAGGAATAAAGTCCAACAGGGGTAATGGTCAGGGGTGTAAGAGAACTTAAAAATCATGTAGGCCAACTTCCTCATTTACAAAAAGAAGTCTGAATAAAAGAGAGGTTAATTGACCTTCCCCGGGTCACATCTATAGTAACTAATGAAGGCAGGATCCAAATTCAGATCTTCTGATTCAAATTTATTTTTTTCTTTCTTCTTTATTAACCTGCTCTGGGCAGAGAACACTTAATATTCACTGAAGTAACTAGGCAAATATTAATTAAGGATAAGAATTTTGAATTAGTGTTTAAAATAAAGATGATAAATTTGCTGAATATTAAGGAGTAGGAAGAGAGACTATGCATTCATTCATTCCATAGACACTGATTGAGAGTATCTACTATAAATTAAGAGGAAATGAAAGAAAGAAAGAAAGAAAGAAAGAAAGAAAGAAAGAAAGAAAGAAAGAAAGAAAGAAAGAAAAAAGAAGGAAGGAAGGAAGGAAGGAAGGAAGGAAGGAAGGAAGGAAGGAAGAGAGAGAGAGAGAGAGAGAGAGAGAGAGAGAGAGAGAGAGAGAGAGAAAGAGAAAGAAAAAGAAAGAAAGAAAGAAAGAAGCTGAGGAAGAAAAAAAGAGAGGAGAAAAAAGAGAGGAAGAAAGAAAAACTGTGTATAATATATATGAGGCAGCTTAGTTGGCATAGTGTATAGTAGTGCTATACTTAGATTCAGGATAATCTGAATTCAAATTCTGCTTCCAAAATCTATCATATGTGTGACTATGAGCAAGTCACATGACCTCTCTTATTCTGATCTGTAAAAGAGGGGAAACAATAGCAACTACCTCTCAAGGTTGTTGTGAAGAAGAACATTCTAATCCTTCCCTATGACAGGTTTTCAATTTCTTGAGGATGGTTCTTATATTTTCATACAGAGACCTAGATCTAGATCTCTTTCATTTTATGTATACACATATATGTATACATGGATACTATGTCTATGCACATAATATACATAGACACATGTAATATGATTTTTATTCCCCTAGAAAAATTTAGGTAAAGACTGAGTTTTCCAGAACTCATTATTACCTGCAAAAGAAGATGATAATGTTTGGGGTGAGGATGGTCATTTTACTCATTAAAAATGACAAAAATAAATCTGCTAGACAGAACAGAACTAAAAAGAGGAATAAAAAAATAATAATAGTTTTAACATCTCATTATGGACTTCTATGATCTCATTCACTCTCCAAAATTTCCAGTCTATGAAGCTTTGACAAATGAATTATCCCTTATTAAAACTATTTCTGTATACTTATGATGCAAGTTAATACCTTTAGCCATGAAGCAAAGGAAATAGCATCAGTTTTCTCATTTTCTATTGTAATTTGCACTTGGCATTGCATATTCATATATTTGGGCAAAGTTTTTTGAAAAATTACCACAGGCAGGCAATTAAATATTCACTGTAGCAAATTCTCATCCTTTGACATTCTGATCCATACATATATGAACACATGGACAGCAACTCACCTAATGAGGTTCTGGCTGGAACGGCATCCTTATTGATCCAGAAAGACACCCAAGATAAGACAACAATGAGAGTGCAAGGAATGTAAGTCTGAATGGTAAAATATCCCATTCTTCTGCTTAGGTCAAAGTACACAGACATCACAACATAATCCCCTAGAAAAGAACATAGATACATCTGAGTCAGTGTGCAAACTGCAAAAAATACACCTATAAATAGCCTATTTAGTGTTTTCAAACCCTATTAACACACATACTAGATAGGTAGTTTACATAAATATATTATCCAACCTTAAAATATTATAGTTCTCTGGAAATTCTCTGCCTATAAACTGCATTTATCTTTCCTTATATTTTTAAGCAGATTAGTTGTCAGTATTTTTTTTTGTCTATACGGATTTGTGGACTTAGTTTTCCCTAAAAGGTAAGATCATTTGAAATTCTCATGAAAAGCATGTTTTGTTTTGTTTTGATTTGTTTTCCATACATCTCAATAATAGACCAACTAGGTCTGACAACTGACGCAATGTTCTACATCCATAGTGTCCCACCTCTTCAAAGGTGGGAAGGAAGTGCATTTTCTCAACTCTTCTTCAAGCTTGGTAATTATAATGATTATAAAGAGATTAGTTTTGTCGTTGTTGTTGTTTATGTTATTGTTACTGTTCTTTCTATTTATAGTGTTGTCATTATGTATATTACTTCCTTGGTTTTGTTTACTTTATTTGGGATTAATTTTTAAAAAAAAGCCTTCCCATGCTTCTCTGAATTCTTTTCATCATTTCTTAAAGTGCAGTAATATTCCATTATGCTCTTAAACCACAATATGTTTAGCCATATCCTAAAGTCTACTGGTGCTTAAGGGGCCTTTCTTCCTATTTTTAAAAGTACCTTCAATTTCATTTCCAAAATTATTAAATACATAATATGTGTAAGCCACAACTCATTTCTTTGTTGAATCATGAGTCTCTAGAATAATGATTACAAAAAGATAACTTATAAGTGAAATCTGGGATCTTACAAGAGTATAAGCATCTTATTAGTTCATTCATAGGAAGTAGCTAGGAAGCAAACATATTAGTTCATTCACAGGGAATAGTTAGGTAGGAAACATCAGGGAACATGTCGTAAATATGGAGAACAGTAATTTGTAGTGCATCAAAAAAGGACATTGGTCAACTCTATGGTCTTCTTCTTCTTCTTCTTCTTCTTCTTCTTCTTCTTCTTCTTCTTCTTCTTCTTCTTCCTCTTCTCTATTCTTAATATTCTTAATCAATCATTTGATCAGTAATTAAATGTTTATTAAATACCTATCAGGCACTGTGCTAAGCTCAGAGAATAAATGATTATTTTTAATTGAGGGTTTGATATGCTATCTATCCATCAATCAACAAGTCACGTTAACAAGCATTTAAGAAATTACGTATTAGGCAACGTGCTAAGCCTCTATCTAAGGCGCTATTTGTGGAAATAAAAATATAAGCAGAAAGTTATTCTTTGCCCTTGAGCAACTTACATTCTAATAAAGGAAAGGGAAGGGAGGAGAAAAGAGAAAAGAGTAAACTTTTATAGTACCTATTACCGTACCAAGTACTATGCTAAATGCTTCATAAACATCTTATTTGGAGCCAAGATGGCGAGTAAGAAATAAGTCACTCTCACCCTTCTTTATTGACCTCTGAAAGCCCAGAAAATAATTGAACCAGGAAAAAAAAATCCTAGAACAGCTGAGCCAGCAGAACGATGGGGTACTGCAGTCTTACAGCTTCGGGGATTGAGAGGAAAGTCCCCACTCGATGTGGGGGAGGGGGAGCAGTACAGGACAGGGGGCATCCAGCAAGCCAGCGGCAAGCCCCACTTCAACATACCAGGCAGAGATCCTGAGACCCAGAGTGGTGGAGCAGGCAAATGCCAACATCAGGATCCCCTGAGAGCCTCAGTACAGGCAGGGGAACCAGCTCAGAAAACCACCATGGGCTACAGTGGTCTCCAGCAGCCAAATCACCTGGTACCTCAGCAAAACTCTGGGAAGCACAACTCCAGGAGGCAAAGCTCAATGCTGACAGACAAACTCCAGCAGTGAAACATCCCTGTGCAAGGCCCAGGCGATCAGGAGAAGAAACTTGGGTAAGTGCCCCTGCACTACAGCCAGAGAGAGCAACTTTTTTTTTTTTAAGTCAGAAAATAGGCAAACACCATGAGCAAAAAGCAGAAACGGATAATGACCATAGATTCTTATTATGGGCACAGGGAAGATCAAAGCACACATCCAGAAGAGTAAAATAATATACTCACATCTGAAACCTCAGAGGGGAATATGATCTGGCCTCAAGCCCAAAAAGCCTTCTTAGAAGAGCTCCAGAAGGATTTTAAAAGTCAAGTAAGAGAGGCAGAAGAAAAGTTGTGAAAAGAAATGAGAGGCATGAAACAGAGAGTCAATAGCTTAGAAAAGGAAGGACAAAAATTAACTGCAGAAAACAAGTCCCTAAAAATACAATTGGCCAAATGGGGGAAAAAAAGTACACTGAAGAAAACAACTCCTTAAAAAGTAAATTGGCCAAATGGAAAAGGAGGTACAAAATCTAACAGAAGAAAACAATTTGTTAAAAATTACATGGGGCAGCTAGGCGGCACAGTGGATAGAGCCCCAGCCTTGGAATCAGGAGGATCTGAGTTCAAATCCAACCTGAGACACTTGACACTAGCTGTGTGACCCTGGACAAGTCACATGACCCCAATTGCCTCACCGAAAAGCAAAACCAAAAACAATGAACAAAAAAATACCTTCCCTTAGGGGCTACTAGGTGGTGCAGTAGATAGAGCACTGGCCCTGAAGTCAGAAGGACCTGAGTTCAAATCTGGCCTCAGACCAAACACTTGACACTTACTAGCTGTGTGACCCTGGGCAAGTCACTTAACCCCAATTGCCTAAAAAAAAATACAGTGGGGCAAGTGGAAGCTAATGACTCTATGAGAGATAAAGAATCAGTCAAACAGAAACAAAAGAATGAAAAAAATAGAAAATGTAAAATACCTCATTGGTAAAACAACTGACCTGGAAAATAGATCCAGGAGAAATGATTTAAAAATTATTAATCTACTTGAAAACCATGATAAAAAAAAAAGAGCCTGGACAGCATCCTTCAGGGAATCATCAAAGAAAACCACCGTGAGGTCCTCGAACCAGAGGGTAAAATAGTCATCAAAAGAACCCACCAATTGCCTCCTGAAGAAGATCCCAAATGGCAAATGACAAGGAATATTGTGGCCAAATTCCAGAACTATGAAGTCAAGAAGAAAATACTGTTAGCAGCTAGAAAGAAACAATTTAAATATCATGGAACCACAGTCAGGATTTTGCAGGACCTTGTAGCTTCTAAATTAAAAGATCAGAGGGTATGGAATATGATATTTCATAAGGCAAAGGAGCTTGGCTTACAACAAAGGATCAGCTACCCAGAGAAAATCAGCATAATCTTACAGGGGAGGAGATGGATATTCAACGAAATAGGGGATTTCCAAACCTTCCTGATAAAAAGACCAGAGCTCAACAGAAAATCTGACCTTCAAATACAAGACTCAAGAGAAACAAAATGGCAAACAGGAAAGAAATACAACAAAACATGTTATTAATAAGGGCAAACTGTTTACATCCCTACAAGAGAAGATGACACTTGTAACTCTTGAGAACTGTATCTTTATTACAACAATGGATATGCACAGACAGAGGGGGTGGGTAAACATTGACATTGATGTGATGATAAAATATCTAATTAAGTGGTGAAAAAGGGATTGTACTGGGAGAAGAGGAAGGGAGAAAGCAGACAAAGGTAAATTACATCATATGAAAAGGCACAAAACCTAATATAGTAGAGGGCAAGAAGGAAGGGAGATGAGCACTGTTTTGGTTCAATGAGGGAATAATATAATCAGTTAAGTATAGACATCTAACTTACCCTATAAGAAGTAAGAGGGGAAATGGAAAAGAAAAGGGAGAGGGATAATAGAAGGGAGGGGCAGACTAAGCGAGGTGGTGGTCTGAGAGAGGAAAGCATAAATGGAGGAGGGAATAGGATGAAGAGAAAAACACAGATAGTAATCATAATTGTGAATGTGAATGGGATGTACTCTTCCATAAAATAAAAGTGGATAGCAGAGTGGATTAAGAACCATAATCCTACAATATGTTGTTTACAAGAAACACATATGTTTTGTTTTGTTTTCTTTTGCTTTTAGGCAATTGGGGTTAAGTGACTTGCCCAGGGTCACACAGCTAGCAAGTGTCAAGTGTTTGGTCTGAGGCCAGATTTGAACTCAGGTCCTCCTGATTTCAGGGCCGCTGCTCTATCCCCTGTGCCACCTAGCTGCCCTGTTTTTTGTTTTGTTTTGTTTTGTTTTGTTTTGTTTTGCTTTTAGGCAATTGGGGTTAAGTGACTTGCCCAGGGTCACACAGCTAGTAAGTGTCAAGTGTTTGGTCTGTACAAGAAACACATTTGAAGCAAAGGAATACACACAGAGTAAAGGTAAAAGGCTGGAGGAGAATATCACATGCTTCAGCTGATGTTAAAAAAAAAGGGGTAACATCTTATTTGATCCTTACAACAACACCGTTAGGTAGGTACTGTTATTATTCTCATTTTACAGGTGAGGAAACTGAGGCAAACAGAAGTTAAGGGACTTGTTCTGGGTCACACAGCTCATAAATATCTGAGGACAGATTTGAACTCAGGTATCTGTGCCTCTAGGCCCAGTACTCCATATACTACACTGAAAAGCAAAGATGAAAATCCACACAGGGGATGTCAGAAAAAAAAATCAGAGTCAGGAGTATAGTCTGGATAGGAATAAGGCATGGCTGGTCTGAAGAACACTATCACTTAGAGGTAATACAGAAAGACTTCCTGTTGGTGGTTCATAAGCTATCTTGAAATAAGGGATTCTATGGTCCAGAGGTAAGGAGGGAATGTATTCCAGGTATGAGCAACAGCCAATCAATGCAATGTTTCAGACAGAAAAGAGTTAGCACCTTGTGTGAGTAACAGAGAAAAGACTCATGGGGCTGCTGTTTATAGATTTAGAAAGTGGTCTAGAGCACTTTGAGTTTAAATGATTTGCCCAAGCTTACAAAGCCAATAAGTAAAAGAGGCAGCAATTGC